TCTTTCCCTTTGGAATATGAGAAGTTCATAATCTTTCCCATCAGTCAAATTTTAATATTCACCATTACTGTGATGAACATTAGAACGTACTGCGAGCACATACATAAAAGTAGAAACAGAAACAAAATACCACCACCACCCCCAAAAAAACCCCAAAATAAAAAAGCCAAATCTATCCACTTGACCATCCATCTTAAAACGTACTAAAGCAGCCACGAGTTAAAAATAAAAGAAAAATTTTAAAATGTATCAACACACTCCTGTAAACTGATGGACTTTTCCTCTTTAAGCAGCTACTGAAATGCACTTAGTGAACAGTGTGAAGTGGGAGAGATGAGAGACCACCACCCAGGCGTGCCCACGTACAGACACACGCATGCACACAACCCAGAAGCACAGAGAGAAACAGGATTAGAGATTTATTTCTGAAAAAATCAAATACAGCAGTGAATTCACAAGAAAAAAAACCAAAATTTTGGTTCACCATATCATCTTAACATTTTATAAAAATGTAAAGGATGTGTTAATTTAAATGATGAGAAATCCTAACAAGCCATTAACTTCTACTCCATCACTCCCTCTATTTGATAAATAGAGAAAGAGACAACCAGAAGCAGGTAAAGTGCACAGACTGAAATCCTCACATAAAATCCTGCAAAAAATCTTTAAGATTTAGGGTGCGTCCAGTCCACTTCTGCCTTTCTTTTCAAACACAATAACGTTTTCATTGCCATTTTAGAAGTGGAATTGTGCAAGCTTTTAGCAATTTCACTTAAACAAGAATACAGATGAGCTCATCAGGGCTGTGTCCAATTGTTGCAGGGAAGTTTAGCTTTATCTTCTAAATAAATATTAACAAGTCTAATGAAAACTTGTCATGGGCTAGGACGCAAAAGGGAACAGCAAAGAAGGGAAGGGATTTATGTGAGAACCCGAGTAGAACACTTGATGGGGGGTGGAGGGAGTTTTATTAGTTTGGTTTTACATATGGCGATAGAACTTTTTTTTAAAAAAAAAAAAAAAATAAAAGCAGATACCAACCCATTTCCTGCTTTTGAGTTGCCTTTGCTGTCCGTGCTGAGCTGAGAAAGGACATAGTGAGGCGCTTTGGCACTGTCGGCATCAAATATATCCATGTTGGACTCTTCACAATCTCGGCGTTTGATCCCTGGCCTCTGCTTTGGATTTCGTTTGCGTGATTTACGTGGCACCTCAGTGTTATCATTGTAGGAACTGGTACTCATGTTACTGAAGTTGGAGGGTGAATCCTCCATCCACATACTGCAGCTCTGTTCTGACTCCAATCCACACCCCTCATCCTGGCAGGACATCCGACTGTTGTCCAGCAAGTCCTCAGGTGGTGGCGAGATGTACAGGACTGTGTGTCTCTTCGGCGTTGACTGCTGCTGCTGGACTGTGTTACTGGTTAACTGCTTTTCACTTACCCCTCTGGTACTTACCCCCACGGCTGAGGAGCAGCTCTCCACTTGCATAGCCTTGCTGTCGGTGACTGAGGTAGAGTAAATGGTAGGACTGGAAGAGGTGGTAAAGGAGCTGCAAGCACCGCCCATGGAGGAAGAGGAAGGAGCTGAAGAAGCATCTGCGGTGTATAATTCAGAAGTAAATACAAGATACATGGTTCTGTGTGTGCTGGCTATAGCAGTCCCATTGAAATAAAGTGATTTATGAACAGATTTCTTTCCCCCAACAAATATTTGGAATTTGGTAAGTTTTAGAATGTAAATGCTTAAAGCAATACAGCCTAGCCAGTACAGTACTTTGGAAATGTCCAAATCAAGACTTAGTATGATTCACTGTAATCAACTTTTTTTAAAACTTAACGTTAATTCATAAAAATGGCTGCAAGGAAACAGAGATTTCATTGCCTCAGCTGGACTAGTTATTTGTGTAGAAGCCATTTCGTCTAAAATAATGGAAGCCCCAATGCAAAATGCTTATAATCCACATTCAATGCCAATTAAACCATTTATTGTTGGAATTTTTTATTTTTGAAAAAGACGGGACTGTGCTTAGCCACAAAATATTAAAATAAGTTTCTAACCTATGAAGCAGAGAACTACAGGTCATTTTTAATGCAGACACTCCCTGCTTCAGAGGCAAATCCTGGAATAAAAATATGAGAAAATAAATGAGAAAAAGAGCTGCTGATTATTCCATCATAAATGAGAAATAAAATATAAAATCAACTGAGTTGGTAGGCAAAATGGAACTGGTATCAGTCACTACGACACAGCTGTTTATTTTGAAGGTTCAAAACAGGGATGAAATGTCTGTATTGGTGACATGCTGACACGCAGAGACAGGAAATTTCTGTCATTTCACTCGTTCAGCACTGAGACTGGTTTCTCTCAGACTTTATTAGTCGAGTCCCTCCTGCGTACAGAGACAGCCTGGGACAGACCTCTGAAAAATTCATACTGAGCAGGGTATTTTAAACAATGTGATCGTGACTTCTCCAGAGGTCACACAGATCAATCTGGTTTAGGACCATGAAAGGACAGCTAAATGATTAAAACAAATCCTGACCGTTTCTGGAGAGCATAATCATTTCCACTGAAAAAAATTCATGGGCAAATCAGCTGAAACCATGGGCTAAAACGTTTGAGAGGCAGCAGTACGGACAAACGCAGGTCTTTATTTAAGTCAGCAGTAGCTCACTGAGGAATAACTGAATTTTATATTCAGATTTATACTTCCGAGGGAGGAGATGCTATTTTCTGTATTCCTGCACTGCTGACCGCACCTTACACAATAAACCAGAACCACAGAAATAATCTGATTTCGGAAACAAGCTGTATATAATACATCTACACATAATTAGAGAGTGTGTTTCTTCAGCTAGTTACTGATGTCATAGAGGTAATAGCTATTATTAAGATGAACGTGATGTTTTCCTTTTTGTTGTTTGCAATTTTGTTTAAAATCTGAACTATTGTATTAATTTCTGAAGTCTAAAATGTTTAGAGATAGTTGAACTCTTTTGTCCAGCTTAAGCTATTTAAAAGTAACAGAATAAAGTATGTTCAACCATGATATATGTATATTGAACTAAGAGCAAAATTTAGCAAGCCTTCCTATAAATTGACCTACTTGTGATTACCAAGGGGTATCAATGACTGATGACAAAGAATTATTAAACTGTTACTGTTTCTTACAGCTTTTCTGTGCTAAATGAACTCAAAAGTAAGCCTGCACTAGTTCAGATTGCACAATTGAGTGGTCATTACAGTTTATCCATAAACTATTCTGCTCTTATCTTCATAGGAAGTTCCTTCCCCGAACCTCCCAGTGAACCAGGAGCAGATGAATGATACCAGTTCCATTTTCCAGTTTGTTCTTTGGCAAATACAGTGGCTGAAATTGGAGAATTCAGTCACTTCGAACTGCATTCCAATTTAAAGGCAAATTTATCCTTTCTATATCATGCAGTAATGCAATGCTTTTTTCAAAAACATTTATAGGATTGGCAAGAACTATTAAATCTAGATATTAATTTCAGTGACAATATTTAGGAGCTGATTTGCAGCCACTTTGAGTTGAGAAAGAGCGTTGCTATTTGGGGTGTTTACTTTGTTTTGTTAAAATAGAATTAAGTTTCCATTCATCATTTATACACTCAAACATAAAGAAACAGTGATCTGCAGCATGCATACAGCATCTACGCTGCGTGCAAGTGTTTGCAAGTGGAATATATGGAGCACACCGCAGTAACGCCGCGGAACTGCATTACTGAACGGCAATATTTCTCCCGTTTCAAATCAATTCTTCTTTTGACGGCTGAACCTGAGTATCATGCACAGTACAACGCAGTGTACGCGCATCTCCTGTCTGCCTGTCCCTGACAAAGACTGTGACAAATAAATAAAGTACATTGAACCAGGAACTGGAAGACTTTTCCTCCAACAGATTGATATCAAAGATCTATCTTTTTGCAGCAAATACTGGGAATGATTTAGAAAGGTCTTTTAAAAGACCCGTAAGAAAAACTTAAAGTGACAATCCATACACAGGTCTGCCTTGGAACAGGTATGCCAAATGCTGATCACAGCCTGCATATCAAATGGTTCAGTGCATGCCCTGTCCAGAAATGCAACAACTGTACTTTCCCCTCACTTTCCTAGGGAAAAAAATAAATACATTACTAAAGAAAATACTTTCCAGTATAAAGCTAAAAGAGTCAGTAATGTATCATTATTTTAGGGTGCAGTGTTTTGCAGTATTTAAGTTGCTATCATTATTGCTTTGCAGAACAATTTCTCCTCCAGGTTTTTTTCCTAGAAGTTAAAAAGCACGTATGTGTATGAGTATGTATATGTATGAATATGTGTACATGTTCTTCCTTTAGACTTTTAAAAAGGAAAGAAGTACTGCCCCTTATATATTGGTTATACCTTTATCAGGCACACCCCTGTGTAACAGTAAGATTAGATTATCGAAAGTGTCAAGCTAAGCAGTAATGGCAAGCAAACCTCTCTTTAGCCTTCTGTATGCCCAGATGAATGCTGTTACCATCCATAGCCAGGCCAGTGTTTTAAGGCACGTACAGGCCACTATCTTCTCCATTATAATAGTTAAAAATATGTAAGAAAGTATGAGAAATATTACAGCCAATTAAATAAACTGGCTGTATCAGAATAATCAAATACACAAATGTAAAATCTATTGTGGGGATAAATTAGCAATTGCTTTAGTAACATTTTAAGTCACACAAAAATTAAGAAACATACTAAAATGTATGTTTTCTCACAGAGCCTGCAGGCCTTTAGCCAGCTCATCGTCCTTTGAACTAATAAATAAATAAATGGGGTCAACCACCTAAGAATCCACAGAATTACTATCATGAATAAACCACTCTGCGTTTTACAGGGCTCCCATTTTGTGTTATCACTTCATTCTAAAGCCAGTGACAACGCATGCGTATCTGATACCTAAAGGAGATCTCCTGGTTGAATACACTGCATTTGGGGGGGAAAAAAAAAAAAAAAAAGAAGTTTATTCTAAAGTTTTCAGTAATTCAACCTTGACTGGTATTGCTTTAAAAGATGAAAGCATTTTGCATTGCCTGGTTTTGAGGAATGAAGCTTTCCCCAGCGCGCAGGTAATAAAATCGAAGCCGTGGCCGTTCAGCGTGAGGGGCGTCGCTGGTCTGCCAAGGTAAGAGCGCAGACATCCACACGCCTTTCCCAGTTCAAGCATTCCCTTTATCTGAGCTTACTTTCTTTAGACACACGTTAATGGGAACTGTTACAGGTGGCTCTTTCATTTGCAATTTAACAGTGCTTGCAGTGACAAATACGTAGTTGAAATGAGTATGTACATTTGGAAATATAAGACTGAATATATTTTAACACAGCCTCAAAATAAAAATTGCTTTCAGAGCAACAAGACCAAATAGAAGCCGAGTGCATGTTATGGCAAGTATGCAGCCACAGTATTATAAACAAAACGTGCACCAGCATCACAAGGTGGGTTTTTTCCTTTTTCTTAATTAAAAAAAAAAATGAGAGAGAAAAGAAAACTATTTCCACGTTAGAGCAACTTTGATCACTGTTGAAACTAAACCTCCTGAATCTATTCATTGCCATCACTGTAACAGGTAAGGTAGTGGAAATAAGTAATTCGGAATTTGCTGCCTGTTCTAGAAGCTTTTGTTCTCTCAAGGAGAGGCAGAATGGTATCAAACTGTTCAGCGCAAGGAAGTCCTGGTTCTTTTTTGGACATGACAATTTACACACTAATAGCCAGCAATTCTGTAATGTGTAATTGAAAGATAGAAAATAACCAAGAACTAACCAAGCGGTTAGTGCTGGAGTGCAGAATGCACATGAAGGTAACCAACCACTCCGCACAACTCCTAGGCAGCCTCAATTTCCAAGCAATTCCAGTTGTTCGTGATACCAGTTCGTTTGTACATTTGCTTCCCAGAAAGGCTAAAAACGTGCCTGCCGCTCCCAAACCCCTACCTCGCTTTCAGGCAGTGAACAGAATTACATTCACAACCGAGAGACTGAGTCATTCAGTTCTTTCTGAAAACAAAAAGCAGCCAAAAAGCAGCCAGCGGAAGAAGGGATGCAACACGCACGTGGCACCAATGCATGCTGCTAAAAACCACAGGCTAATATAATGTCAGAGACTACGGGAACACACAGCCATGAGCAAATCCGGTGCAGTCTTTTTCTTTCCAATAACATAAAGCATTGTACAAAGAGAATTCATTACCTCCTGAGTTAGCAACTAAGGCAATGACATATATTTCTATATCCTATTACCTCGTGAAGTCAAACAAGGCATTCAGCCTCTAAAAAAAGATCTGAAAGGCAGGAGAAAGAAAAAAAAATATATATATCACTACTTGGCATTGAGGGACTCTTGTCTTCAGGTAACACTTACGTGGAGCCAATCCTGAAATCCTTGTTCATTCTTTCCAAAGAGATCCTTAAATACAACAAGGATTACCAAGTTCTCAAAAAGAAACAAATTGCGTCCTGATGACTTTTTTTTTTTTTTTTAATTGTTGCAGCTGGAGTGCAAAGCAAGTCATTTCCCAGACTAGAAAGCTGAAGATTACGAACGCAAATA